AGGACTCTGACCTCGTAGAGCAAAGTGTATTGGCTCGGCTAACTGTTTAGGCAATTTTCTTCGCAAATCAACACTCGCCGTTAAAGTCGCGGCTTGTGTATGGAATTGGTTTCGGGTCACAAGCCAAACACTCCCATCCCACCATCTCCTCCGTATAAAATACTTAGCAGTTTTATTGGTAATATAAAGGAAACATCCCGCCAAATAATATTTGTATTGTATTTTATTAAAATTTCGAGTTTTCACAGTCAATGGTAATTTTATGTTTTTAACGACGAGTAAACACGTCGAACGCACCGTAACAGAGATTTGGTTTGACGTGTATGCACGAGAAACGCGCTTATCTGGTTAAAGGTGGACCAACCAGAAGCGGGAGGTAAGGTCAGGCCAGGATCGTTCGATTCGGGCGCGACCTAAAAATAGTGATTCCCGGTGAAATCGCGGACCCAGCTCAAGGAGGATTTACCATGGGCAGGCCAGTCGGCCGGGGATTACGGGAACTCGTTAACCGGCTAATGGCCTTAAATGACGAACGACCAAATTTTTCCGGAACGAACGCGGTACAGAGTCGAATCCGGGAGAGTGTGTGCGTGTGATTGTATGCGAGAGAGAGAGAGAGAGAGAGAAAGTGAGAGAGCGGGAGAGAGAGGGAGAGAGAGAGACCCGGTTTCGCAGCGCTCCCAGACAATATACAAGAAGTATTATAACGACGGTCTCGATAAACGATCAGCCGAGCGGGGCTGAAGTGAAAACGGGCCTGTAAAACAGGTGGGGATGGCTTGGGGAGAAGAGAGTGGCTCGGCTGAGTAGATTATACGGGCACCGTGGAGAATCGATCCTTGAATTACGGCCACATTATGACTGCGAAACTTGCTGGGGCCGCACTTTCCTGCCGGCGGCGAATTAATCTGCGAGAAAGAAGGGAAGAGCGGCTTCCAGTCTCGAAGCCGATGATTCATTTCGATCCGGAGCGAACCGGAGGACACGGCGAGAACGAGAGGAACGATCGCCGATTAAGCGATCGCTCGAAACGCTGACACACGCCGCGACGCGACGCGCCGATGCATATCGAATGTGGTCTGGTCCTGATTCTCTAGATAGGACTGAAGCTGTTTGCTTACGCTCCGGCCACCTTTGTCCATCGCAATTGCAAAAGTAATCCCGCCAATACTCTACAATTGATTTTTAACCCTTAGCGCTCCGCGCGTTTCTCGAGTACTGCCTACCAGCAACTCCGGCACATTTTTCGAGCAGAGCGCCTGAGATAAAGGAAGTCTTACTTTGAGTGGAAAAGATTACACGTCTTTGTGAATGCATTTGATCTTATTTATTTTATAAATATAGATTTTCCTATTGTGTAAATAAAAGATAAATTTTAAGTTTTTTGTAATTCACCATGGTGTGATATCTTTGGTAACGATCTCCCATGTGCATTCTGGGTTTACTTGGACAAGTGTCACAGTATTCGCTTTGCCAAATAGAGTTACTAGATATTTCTTTCAAGTTTAGAACATTTTTCGCGTAATTGTTGGTTTCCTTTATAATTTCATTTACCAATTCGTCCGTGAAAAATAATTTAAAATATTGTATCGGCTGTTCAACGTTTGTAGGAACTTGTGGTCCAACGACCTGTGGCAATACACTAAAAGGTATTCTATCTGGAATATGTTATTCTTCCGTAACGTCACGCCGTTCATCCAAGTCTTGTAACGAATCTTCGCTTTCACTTTCAATAATTCTCATTCTTCGTCTCTTTGGTAGTATAATTTCGCTACTGCTACTCGAAGTGTCAGAATCATAACCAACATTGTCTTCCACAATGTCTTTTAACTCTTGAAAATCAAATACGTCTTCGGTATCGCTCGGCTCTAAATTCTCATCGTAATATTTATTTTTCTCCATGTTGCTAACCATAGAAAAGGTCAAAAAATGGTTTAATCGTAATGGTACAGACTTAGCACGTTTTAACTACAGATAACAATTGCTAACGCCGACGATAACGTATGCTAAAAATATTTGGCTCCGCAGCGGAGCCTTCGGAGTTACGGAACAAATGACAAATGTCTCCGTAGCGGAGCCTTCGGAGCGCTAAGGGTTAACACATTGCGGACGGATCGTGAAAATTCTCGCGTTTTGTGTTCTAGAGCTTGCAGCCAAGAATTGTCATTGTTGTCATTTAAAGCGAAGCGATGTACAACCTAATTGGCCACTGAATAATGATGGCTACAAAACTACTGGTCCGCAGCGTATTAACCCCTTGCACTGGGATTCCATTTAGAGCTGCGTGGATTTGCACGTCTGCGTGCTTAATAACTTCGCTGATACAAACGAGACAATTTCCATTTGCTCTAATTCCTAGACTTTGATAACAGAATACAGTAATGTCTCCCTAACTGACGCTCAGATTGCGCACAAAAATGGACAATTCGGGAAGAGGAGAAGCGATTATTCGAGCCTTGTAAACGTAGCTCTGAAACGAAATGCAGCCTGTATTTCGTTTCAGTGTAGAAAAAATTAGTAACGTTCATATTTAGTAGATCGTGTACGAAATTTTTGTCACCAGTCCGTCAGATCTTTATTAGCCAAAGGATCAAGACAGTTATTCTCTGATCTTCCAGTGTACGACTAAACATCCCTCGCACGTTTGTTAGTAATAATTATCTTCTATCGTGTATCTCCGGTTGTCTTTCTTGAACGTATTGTCTTCACTGTAGAGTGAAACTGCAGGAGTTCCTTAAATCAACATCGATCCAATTGCAATTGTTTGAAATCAAATTACATTGCCGTTGTTTACGTTGACGTAACAGTTGGGTACAATGTTTAGTTGCTAGGAAAACTATCCGCGCCGGTAGATAAGGGTTGATCTTTATCAACGCATTATTGAGGCGATTCGGTTGTTAGGCTGGGCGTCTAATAGGGGTAGTCGGTTTACAAAGACGAGGCCCGCCAGCGATGGTGTTGCAAAGGGTTGAGAATGGTCTACGAAGTGGTCTTTGGAACTACTAGGCTCTGGAGGGATGGGTACTTAGCGAGCCCATTAAGTACTGCGTCGCGTCTTCGTGATTGGGACACTTCAATCGCTGTATTATTGTGGATCGAGATACTACAAGTGTTTGCTGTAACTTCCAGCACCCTTATGACGAGTGGACTGTCGCTGCGAACACCGTCTGACCATGTCCCTGTGGCGGCTACCTCCAGACCTGCCAGCAGAGGGCTCCTCTTCCCGCTAGTAGCCGATCCGTCTCGATCCGTATATATACACCGAGACTTCGTCCTACCCTTACGTCTAAGGCAAGGGCCCGCTAGGATAGCCTTACCGATGANGTTGCAAAGGGTTGAGAATGGTCTACGAAGTGGTCTTTGGAACTACTAGGCTCTGGAGGGATGGGTACTTAGCGAGCCCATTAAGTACTGCGTCGCGTCTTCGTGATTGGGACACTTCAATCGCTGTATTATTGTGGATCGAGATACTACAAGTGTTTGCTGTAACTTCCAGCACCCTTATGACGAGTGGACTGTCGCTGCGAACACCGTCTGACCATGTCCCTGTGGCGGCTACCTCCAGACCTGCCAGCAGAGGGCTCCTCTTCCCGCTAGTAGCCGATCCGTCTCGATCCGTATATATACACCGAGACTTCGTCCTACCCTTACGTCTAAGGCAAGGGCCCGCTAGGATAGCCTTACCGATGAGTCCTCTAGCGGGCCCCGGACGAAACGTCTCCCCTTTCCTTTTCCATACTCGAACCGCCGCCAAATCCCATTAACGCTTCAGCTGCCGCAAAAGCTTACTAATAAGTTCTTCGATCGCTGTGCTTCGTCCAACTTGACAGAACCGTTTCTCTTTGGACACAAGAATTTTAAACAAAAATATTGGATTATATTCTGAAAAATTATTTTAATTAACACGTTCACTGCCGGGTCTATGTTTTGAAGAAATCTGTTCCGGACGCCAATATTTCTTGTTTTCAAATAAATAAATAATGATAAGTAAAAGATAATAGTAAGTACGAAGTAATAACGAGTAAAAAACAATAGTAATAAGTAAAAAGTAATAATGAGCAAAAGATAATAATAAGTAAAAAGTTAACAATGAGTAAAAGATAATAATAAGTAAAAAGTAAAATAACCAGTAAAAATCATAATAAGTAAAAAGTAATAATGAGTAAAAGATAATAATAAATAAAAAGTAATAGTGAGTAAAAGATAACAATAAGTAAAAAATTATAATAAGTAAAAAATGATAAATAAATCCTTTTCTTTTGATCTACCACGAGATAACTCGTGGTAGGCAATAAACAGATTGGCGTGTAAACAATCGCTATTCTATCGGAGCAAAGAATGCACTAACTTTTAGAAGCCTAACCACAGTGCCAACCCTGTAACAATTGAAAGTACCATTTAGTTATGCGACTGCCTCAAGAAAAGACACGTTTCATGAACTAGTAACACAGCTATTCGCCCTCAAAACGTCTCAATCCCTACTTTATCGGAGCCCGTGAAGGGGTACAAGAGTTCCTTACGACCGCACACTAACTTCTAGAACCCTAAAGCCAATGGTAACTGCACGCCAGCTAAAAACACCGTTCAACCAGTTTACCATCCGGGGAACATTCGTGTTCCATCCGAGCGTATCGTAAACCGGCGAACTCGGCCGGGCCGAAAGCAAGCAAAGAATGTGTTTTTTACGGTGAAACGATCTCGTAGCCGGTAATCACTGTAACACCATAACAGCACCAGAGAAACGTGTCACTGTGTAACGAGCAGCACCGACGCGGAGCAAATTGTTGGGGGAGGGGAGGGGTTAGAGAGGCGAGGGATAGCAAGCTCGGCCGCGTCGGACGCAACCATGAATGAAAAAGCCGCTAGGCGGACGGCGCGCGAGGGTTGGGCCGGACCGGAGGAAGGGTTTAAACTGGGTTAAAGGGTCTGTCGGGTGGTTCTAATCGATTGATCGGCGCCGCGGACAGCAAGAACTGATCACCGCAACCGAACTGTTTCAGCCGATCGGCATGCATTTGAATAAGTACGAGTGGGTCGGCTCGCCGGACATCGGCGACTGCTCGTTGTGGGTGCGATCCGCGTCCCTGGATTTCGACGACGGATTATGGCAGTGCCAGGTCACTGCCAGCGATTTCACCACGCAGGACGCGTTGGCATCGAAGCCTGCGAGGCTGGTCGTCAGAGGTAAGATTCGATTTCATCGTTCCTTCTAATTCATCCAATTATGCCGGAAAGTGGCGATCTTTGTACCACTCTAACTTCGTGGAAAAAGATCGCACGATAATCTATCTTAGCTCGTTTTAAAGCGCGAACTCTCTGCTTTCACGTCGCTGAACTCGTTTTCTCCAAGGTCTTATCTTATCGCTGCGAAACAGAGTAAAAAGTTGAAAATTCTCGCAATTGCTCGAACGCGATGCAACAGAGGAAACATTCCCCTTCAAAATCACTTTCCGAAAGTTGATCTGCGATTTTCTTTGTATGGTTTTATTGTATTTCGAACGGAAACCGTGTCGTCGATTTTGCTAAAAAAAGAAAAAAAAAACAATAGAGAACACGGGAACGATTGTATGGAGTGTAAACAATTTTTTTTAGCATCGCGTCAAAGCGATCTTATAGAGGGCGGTTTTCCCTTTACAACGACCTCTCGAAAGTTGACCGAGTGATTTTTTGCCACGAATTTATTGTGCTTCAAATAAAAACTGTGCCGTTGTATTGTTGAAAATAGAGAACGAAATACAGATGAGGATCCGAACGGACCCGGGCACCGCTACTAGAGTCGTCGAAAACGTACTGCAGTACGAAACGCGCAGCTTGTAAAAATTCCCGGGTTTTCAATTTTGATCGCGTCGGATATTCGGGTAGCGTTAGCGAGGAAAAAATTGCGGCAATCGCGAGAGCCGAGCTCGTTGCATTCCATCGCGTGTTATTCCCCATTGTGCCGAGATTAATGCTTCACCAAACCAACCAATCCACGGGGCGGCGCATACGCTGTCGTTCAAAAATATCTGGGCTCTAAATCCGCCGCGAAAATGGAAACGAAAGTAATTATCGTATAATCACCGCTATGGTCGACTTCGAATGCGTCACGGCCGAAACATTCGCATTTTATTCTTCGCTGGAAAATCCAAGTTCATTAAATTACCGATCAGATATATCTGAACAATGGCGTGCGCGCACACACATACACACACGCCGCGGATCGGTGTAAAACGGCGAAACAACGGGAATCGGCGAAAAATCGGGCGCAATATCGAAAACAACATTATTCTCCACAACAACTTTTTGCCGGCTGAAAATCTGTTGCGCGGGCGCCGATAAAGTTGCTCGTTTATCGATAAAACCATTCACTTTTATTCTTCTGCGTCCGAACTCGGCCGCGTCACACTGTCCGGCAACTGTTTTTTTTTTAACCTCTTTCGATTATCGTCGCGCACGCTGTTCTCGTTTTTCGACGCTCGATTTACAATGTCGAGGTTTGAAAATCGGCGTAGCTCTTGACACCGGAAAGTTCTGCGTCAATTTCATGTGCCCTATCTATATTCTCGAAGAAAAAAGAAAAAAATATACACTGAATTCTTTGCTGCTATTAATTTTCCATCGCTGGTCCAGCCCTCGTGTTAACACGATTTATTTTCGTTCCTCGAGAAAGTAGAAACTCCAACAATTTTTTAACGGCAAATCGAAAGTATCCAGATATTTTCGGTCACATTTTTCTCATTGTAAGAAACAAAAAGTGTTATTGTCTAACGAACGAATTTATTGCTTCGATAATTTTGAGTTAAGTTAAAGTAACGTAATTGTATTATTTATTTCGTTTGTCGCTTGAACACTTTGACATGCCGTTGCTTCAATTCAACACTGAGATATGTCTAAATAATGAGGTTTAAAGAAAAAAGGCATTCAAAGTTTTATTTTCCCTATAATAATTTGGTAACTATGAATGGCAACCAACTATTGCGCTTAATACAATAATAATAATATTTCGGATGATACAGTAAATTCTCCCTAATTGACGCTCAGATTCTGCAGAAAAACGTACAATTTAGGAAGAGGAGATACGATTGTTCGAGCCTTGCGGATCGTTTTTATAGTTGTTGACAATCGGTAATTACAAAACCGGGCCGCAAGGCTCGAATAATCATATCTCCTCTTCCCAAATTGCCCATTTTCGTGCACAATCTGAGCGTCAGTTAGGGAGACATTACTGTACTATTTAGTATGAAATAGAAGAATATCTCTAAATTACGAATTTTTAAAAATGTTTCGGTATCGAATTAGAACAACGATGCGCAGATTACATTTTAGGACATAAGTGGAAATGTTCGAAAATGTGACTACGATATGAGCCGTTTATTTTGAAAGTGGCATAAGTCACTTTACCGTGATGAAAAGTGGTGATTTTTTAATGTTTATACGAAATTATTTATACCGAGAAAAATATCAGTATCCTGAGATAACGAATACAAGTAAATCTTCTCGAAAGTTAGCATCCATGTTTTTAAACGTGTTAAAACACAAACCCTTAAATATATCGACTTATGCCACTTTCAAAATAAACGGCTCGTATTAAACCACTCGTATCATCGAGCACATTTTTCACGGTTCGAACGTCGAGTTTCGTTCAGGCGAGCACGCGCTGTTCGAAACGCGTCGCGCCGGATGAAAAATTGAACGGGCGAATCGGCGAAATTAACCGGCGCTAATTTTCTCGTTGCAGTCAGCCCACAGCGACCGCAGATAGAGTACGCGGAACGTCTCATTCTGCCCGGCAACAACGTGACAGCTCGAGCAGGTGAGATCGCTACGCTCACTTGCAGCGCGCGGTATGGGAATCCTTCGCCTCTAATTAAATGGTTCGTAATCGCTGCACCGTTGGTTCCGTACTACTTAACCGTTTCGCCGGCGACCCCTCTCGTAGCGACCTTTTTCTCCTCCCCCTTTGGGCCCACCCTGAGAAATTCGGGCTGCGACGATCGATACCATCTTCGCCGCTCCACGCTGCCGATTTCGTGGTCGAACTATGCCGCTCTCTGAAACGCTCCTTCGTCTACCGAAAGAAACCGGTTTACAAAAGCCAATTTAACACTAAATCTACCGATCTCTAAGAGCGATTAACGCGTTGCTTTAGAAGAATGACACGACCGAATTTACTTAGACATTTCGACGTTCTTGTTACCATCGTTTCTTAACACATTGCGGACCAGTAGTTTTATTGCTAACTTTGCCTAGTTGCCGGTCTACGTTTCACACCGCTTCGCTCGAAATGACAACAATGAAGATTCTTAGCCGCATGCTGTAGAACAGAGAACGCGAGAATCTCCTTGATACGTCCGCAGTGTGTTAAGATAGAGCCGTCATAATTTCAAAATCGTGAAAATAAAAGATGAGAGACCGATCGTGATAGGTTTAGTGTTAAGTGCCGAACATGGAACTTCTGTTTTGTATCTTATTTTATATCTGCATATCTCGTTTGACTCTGGTTGCTGGTAGCCTTAAAATCACAGGATAATCGAGTTATAATATATTATATTAGGGTGTCCTATAAGTTCTTTCCTTTTTTCTGATGCGAAATGATTATACGATATTTGTTGTGTAAGCTTGATTTATTGAGTTATACTGCATATGAACTGTTATGCTCTATTACCTTCTTCCATCTTTTAGGAAGCCTCATTATGCCGTCTTTCCAAGATTGTCGAGGCTTATTTGCAAAATATTGATCAGAGCGTGTTTTTATTTCGCTCACGAATTTAAACCATTTTTCACGGAGAGAATTTTTTCACGAGAAGAACAAGTAATTATCGGATGGAGCAATGTCTGGGGAGTACGGAGGATGAAGTATAACGTCCCAATTAAACTGCGATAATTTTTGTCTTACGACCAACGCAACATGCGGTTTTGCGTTGTCGCGATGAAAAACGACGCCGCATCGGTTCGCCAATTCTGGCCGTTTTTCTGCTATGGCGGCTTTCAATTCATCGAGTTGATTACAATATTTAGCTGAATCGATCGTTTCACCTTGAGGAAGGAGCTCGTAGTAGACTACGCCTTTCCAGTCCCACCAAATGCACGAAAGAACTTTCTTCGGATGAAATCCTGGCTTCGCAACAATTGAGGGACTATTTCCTTTTAACCAAGTTCGTTTTAGAGGCACATTTTGGTATAAAATCCAAGTCTCGTCTCTAGTGACAAGCCTCTTTAGGAAAGTATTTCTTCCATGTCGTTGGAGAAGCAAATCGCACGTAGAGACGTGGTTCATAAGGCTAGTGTCAACGCCTATTGTCGGTGTGGAATTTCGAATCGATTCACACATCTCATCTCGATTAAATGCTTATGTACCGTTGACCTGGGCATGTTAGTGGCATCCGCTATCTCGCACACACTATATCGCGAATTTTCAGCGAGCATATCTTTGACAAGGTCCGCATCCGTTGTTGTTGGACAGCCGCTGCAGTCTTCATCTTTCAAATCATAATTGCCAGCTCTAAATCTCTGAAACCAATTGCGGACTGTCCTAATAGTCGTAGAATCATCACCGTAAACGGTACAAATCTCGTTTGCAGTGTCCTTTGCCCTATCACTTTTTTTTGTAAAGCAATGAAGCATAACCTGCCGCAAATGCTTCTTTTGGCTATCCATATTGAACGGCGCAGAAAAAATTGGATAAGGAACTTTGTCACCAACGAAACATAATCTAAAAGAACTATGGGACGACTGAAACCGCTATCCTAAATAGCCAAGAGATAAGTCTGCGTGTTTATATAAACAGAGCCAGTTAGAGTCATTCATAGCGCGGCGCGGAAAGAACTTATGGGACGTCATGAAACTTATGGGTGTCATTGATGCAGTGATTTCATTTAGCAAAATACGCGAAAGGAAAACAGCGTGATCTACAGTGTATAAGACTGTCTCTCATAAATTTTAATTTAAAAAACATTCTAAAAGACCTAACATTGTTAACAGAGTAAATACACAGTACGAATTTTTCATATCTCCAAAAGAACGTGCACGAATATGCTGCTAAGTTCAGCGAAGATTAACGATCAATTTCATTTTTATAAAATAGCATAGAGAAGTCTGAATCCGCGGCTGGTTCAAGATGTCGTAAATGCTCGCGTCGCGAAAAGCAGTTCGCATGAAAATCCAGCATCCGAGACCTCTCGAATCTCGCCAGGTTGGCAAATGAGAGTCACTGAGTGCCAGGGAAGTCGTAAAGCCGTGGTGGGGATAACGCCTGACCACTAACTGTGCAAGAAACGCGAGCACTAAGCGGACACTACTGTATCTTGCATGGTTTGCTTGCTTACTGTAGCGTCGGTCTACCAAGCACAGCTGATGGAATTAGAGCGCAGCGAGGGTGCTGGAGACAAGGTGGAGCAGGACAACTCCATCGCCGGCTTCTCTCTGACCATCTCTTTCCCTCGTTCTCTGTTCGCGTATCTTTCCCGTTTCATTGACGAAACGCTGACCCAACCGGAACCAGCTTTCAGGACCAGCTTTCAGGACCAACTTCCAGGACCAGCTCGCAGGACCATCGATAGCAGCCGCATAGCAAGTTAATCCTTGGCGCACAGTGAAACGAAGCATCTATTTTCCTGGATATCGTCGGTCAAAATTGATTGTCGAAATTTTGTACCGTAACTTAATCAAATGTTTAACAAACGATCGTGGCATCAGAAAACGCAAAGAAATTAACTTTATATTCGCATTGACTGTTACGAAAATTCCGGTCTTCTTGTCTTCCAGTTGCTCCACTTTGAATAATTATTGCCTAAATCCCCCATTAGTTTATAAGTGCTCAATGTTTTCCATATTATTGAGTACCTTATTAGTAATAATTTTCTAGAAAATATTTAAACTTAAACCTTATCATTCAACAAGTGTGTAAAATAAAATTTCATTGCACTCAATACTATCATCATTCAACTAATGATTCAAAGTTTTCCTTAAAATACTTAAATCCACCCCACTAGTGGTAAGGTTTCAGGAAGTAGAAAAATTAGCTGCTAATAGCTGCGATTGATAAAATAAATCTAATATATGTGCATAATATACAGGATGTCTCAAAAATGTCTCGCAATCTGGAAATGGTGAGTTCCTCGGATCATTTGAAGCAACTTCTTCCTTTACAAAAATTTTCTCCGGGTCACCGTTAACGAGTTATTAACGAAAAACAGTGACCAATAAGAATCGTGTACGGCTGACGCGAGGCGGCCCATTGGCTCGGCCGGCTCGCGGCAGCTGATCTCGCCTCTCATTGGACACTGTTTTTCATTAATAACTCGTTAACGGTGCCTCGTAGAAAATTTTTGTAAAGGAAAAAGTGGCTTCAGATGACCCGAGGAACCCGCTACTTTCGGATTGCGAGACATTTTTGGGACACCCTGTATATATGTATACAGTATATTACATTTATTTTATTAGTCGCAACTATTAGCAGCTAATTTTTCTATGTTTTAACTCAGCTTCCTTCTTCCACTTTTTTGTATTTCCAAAGGCTACGATCGCCAATTAAAAATTCAATGAAGCTACAGCACAATATTTCGACAATTGGCCGATGACGATGCCCAAGAAAACAGGTGTTTCGTTCCACTGTGCGGCGGTCCGCGCCAACTGCGGAAAAGTAAATGTTTCGCATTTCGAAATGAGCGGTTGATTAAGCGGGCGTAGCTCGGCGAGCCAGAGAAATCGCCCCTCCGTCCACAGAATCCGTCGTTTAGCAGTCAGCTGTGCTCGGTGGGTCGACGGGAGTCGTCGGTTTTCAAGAAAAACGTTTCAATGCGTCTAGATTGCGTGGGTGGCCCGTCTCCGTTCCTCCCGTTTCTTCGGAGAACGCCGTTCTTTTTTCAGGGATTCATTCGATTAGCTCGCGCTGTTCCGGGGTGACTTCGTTCGACGGACTTTGGACGACTTAATTCCAGCCCCCGTGTCTTTCGCGCCTCCGCTCCGATAAGGGTTTCTCGATAATCGAACGATTACCGGCTGTAATTACTCGGCGGAGCTCGGTCGCAGACCTCCTCGATCGAACGGCACTGAAACGTACTTCGAACGCGATGGGAAAGCTTTCTTTTGACAGTGTCGAGCAACTTTGCCGATACCTTTCAAATCACTACTTTTCTGGACGTGTGAAGAGAACGTTCTATAACGTTTCAGTTGCGAACGAAGATCTCACTCGAAACGTAGATTGGAACTTTCGAACAGTTAATTCCGTTAATTTTCGTTTTAAATCGGTTATTGTACGTCCAGATTCGAGAAGTATAAAAATACGGCTTATTTTCGTGATACGTGAGTTTGATATAATAATTGCAATAATATGTAATTGCAATATACATATAGTTACAATATACAGTAAATTCTCCCTGAAAGGCTCAGGGCTCGGAATTGAAAGCGGTACAGTAATGTCTCCCTAATTGACACCGAAATTGTGCACAAAAGTGGACAATTTGGGAAGAGGAGATACGATTATCCCAGCCATGCAGCTCGTTTTTATGATTGTTGACAATCGATAACCATAAAAAACGAGAAACAAGGCTCGAACAATCGTATCTCCTCTTCCAAAATTGTCTATTTTTGTGGACAATCTGAGCGTCAATTAGAGAGAGACATTACTGTATCGCTTTCAATTCCGAGCCCTGAGCCTTTTAGGGAGAATTTACTGGATATTACAACTATATGTATATTGCAATTACATATTATTGCAATTATTATATCAAACTCACGTATCTCTCTCTCTCTCTCTCTCTCGAGAGAGAGAGAGAGAGAGAGACAGCCTCGGCGACTCGTTTTTATAGAAACTCGGTGTAGTCGGCAAAAAAGTCAGCGGCCAGCATGCCGGTGTACATTAATATGAATACATAGTAATGCTAGAATAAAAACGACGACTTAACCTTTTTGTTTCTAATTTTTTGCCACGATTCGGAGGCAATTCGAAAACCGCATGCCACGATTCGACGGTCACGTACCTAATACCTACCACGTACCTTGTAGCTCCGCGGTTTTTCTTACCTGACTCACACCCAAACAAACCATTCGGTGTTGTCTTCCGGGAATTCGCGTCGCGTGCCGCATCACACGCTTGACCGACTCCGTCGACCCTTAGCATCGATTTACATAGGCGTGTAGGACTAGCACAGGGAAATTCACAGCATCCCGACATTTCCGGGTTTTTCCTCGGAATTTGTTCTCTATTGTGTACGCATTCTTTCATAACAGGCTCTATTTCGCTTTTTGCTCTATCCAAAAATTTATGGATACAGTAGAATGGTTTTATGAGAAATGTTTTGCAGTTTTAAAGTAAAAAAATTACCAAAATACACTACTCAAACATTATTAAAATATAATGTTAACAAAGAATTAATTTCTCTGTATAGTTTGATGCAATAAGTTAACTACAATAGCAATGATTTACTATTTTTTGCACGACAGTGGTATATATTCAGTATCTAGGTATACGAATATACAGGGTGTCCCAAAAATGTCTCGCAATCCAGAAATGGGAGGTTCCTCAGGACATTTGAAGCAACTTTTTCCTCAGCGAAAATTCGATCCGCGGCTTTGTTTCGGAGTTATTAACGAAAAACGGTGTCCAATCAGAGGCGAGACGAGCTGGCGCGAGGCTGCCCAGCCAACGAGCGCACGAAGCCCAGTTCCGCTCATTGGATCGGCCGTCTCACGCCGACTGATCGCGTCTCTCATTGGTCACCGTTTTTCTTTAATAACTCGGAAACAAAGCCGCGGGTTGCATTTTAGCTAAGGAAACAGTTACTTCAAATCACCCTAGGAATTCCCCATTTCCGGATTGCGAAATATTTTTGGGACACCCTGTATATATAAATAACAGTAAGTATACGAAATCCGTCGGGGAATCACTAATTTCTTAATTCACGATCATTCAGATTGCAAAGATGCATTTATGAGTTATTTATCCAATATATACGTGTTGCTTGCGTTAAATTACGTTAAATATAACAACAATCCTCGTTCGAAATCAGAATAAATCTCTTATTGTCACGTTTGTGAACTAATATTTTTACTGCTTCGTGAAACTAGCGCGAGTAAAATTGTTTTTCAAAAAGAGTGCGAACAGTAAATAATTACAGTTGAACTCCATTTACGCGGGACAACGAGCGGTAAACAATCGGTTCATATAACCGGGGATAGATTCATGTAATAGGAGTCCGCAGCTTGTCCCCGCAGCTTGTACATTTCCGTTCGAATAACCGGGATACAAATAAACGGATTTAACCGTACAAACAAAAGTAAAATCTGCTACATTTGTTTACGTACGCATTAACTAGGTGTTCCCATAATTGGGGTAACTCTGGTCGGTGGTGCGGATAATAGTAGTTGAAACAGAAGTTCGCTTGAATAGGGGCATTGGCCACAATCTCGTTCCAACAGACGGAGTTCGGATAAGCGGAGTTCGGTACTGTACCGAAAATTTGGAAGCGTGACAGTTTGATAAAACAGCAACAGACGACACGGATCGGTGTATCCGGTCACTTTCGGGACACGATATTCAATGGATTGATTAAAGCGGCTGAAGAGTGGTGCGCCGCGTATGTCGGTTCTTAGGAGCACGATCTAGGCCAGCGTGGGTCGGTTAAACGACGGGTCCGTAGACGCGGCGAAGGGGATTTTTAAATTGAATTCTCCGTGGAGCTCGCGGTTGCCGTGGACGGGGGCGGAACGGCCGGCTTTATGAATCGTAACTGGGGATTTAACGAACGGCAAGAAGGAGCGGATGGAAAAGAGCACTCGTCCGCTCGCCGCGCCGGTTCCGAGCTATTATTTCGAAGGGGTACCGATATCTCTGACCCCGTGTCGGAGCCGGGGCCGGGATAGGTATGCACACGCCCACGCGCCCTCGTACCAGGCAGCGCGAACCGGCTTCGTTTCACCCTGCGCGAACATCCTCGGCCCCGTAATGCACCGTTGCGGATCCCGCCGATGCTACGCTTGCTCTCTCTTTCTCTCTCTCTTTCTCTCTCTCCTTCCCTCTCTCTCTTCCTCCCACCCATCCTTCCTCTCTCTCTACCTCACCCTTCGACTCTCTGGCTGCCCATGAATAATCATGATCCATTCCGAGCCAGGTATCCAGACGAAGTTAAGGAGCTGCACGGTTTGCTTGCACCCTCGGGGGCGCAGAAATAACAGAAAGCTCGGCGACGGAACGAAACGGCGGGATAACGGCTCGACGGAGGATGATAAGCTACGCGAGAGAACGTTAATTAATTTATAGGCGAATGGAAAACGAGAGCGACCCCCGCGCGGATCGTCCCGGGGAAAGTTCGACGCTCGTCGGGCAAGTTCCCGGCGCGTGCCGTCGCGGCCCGCGAATTCCGCAACGAGTTGCGTCGCGAACCGCGCCACTTCGGAATCTTGTCTTTCTCTGGGGCCGCGCGTAATTGACGTTGCATGACGTCTGGATATAAGTCGGGCGAGATCGGTGACAGACCGTTCGCGTGCTCCGGGAAACGGATCCTTCTCGCGAAACCGGATCGCTTCTAATCGTCTCTACTTTGCTATTCTTCTCGGGAATTAGGTGACTGCAGGGTAGATAGTTAGTCTAGGATAGGATAACTAATGGATGCTCGAATGTTCTGCAAATGGATTTTGTGGATCAATTGTATTGTACTTAATAAAAACGTTAACGATCTTCGTATGTCCTTTACACGACTACCTACAAGGAAACGTGTCCCTCTCGAAATCATTTAATTTCATTTGAAAACTTTTTCGCTACGCTTAATGACTATTCTATTCTATTCTAGCTATTCTATTTATTAGCAATATTTATTTATTATAATATTTATTAGCAAACGATATTGCTTTAATCCTTTGCACTCGAGGCTGTTTCAACTTCAAAACTGAGATATTTCTTCTAATGTTGTATTATTTTTGTATTGTTTGCACATGAGAGTCGGTTTACTCGCTCGTACAATGACTACAATTTTAACAATTCTTTGAATATAAGCAAATTTATTAAATATATGTAGCTAATTATATATTACTATTTAATTTATAAATGTTACATAGCAATTTTTAGCGGTGCTTCAGACTCGTCATTCCAGTGCAAAGAGTTAATTGCTTGAGTGTTCATTAGTATAGGGTGGGTCATTAAGGATGGGCCATCGCGTATTATCATCTAGATTCATGTCATTGTTATTAAGCGTAGCGAAAAATTTTCAAATGAAATTAAATAATTTCGAGAGGGACACGTACTGATGACGCTAGTTTCCTTGTAGGTGGTCGCGTAAAGAACATACGAAGATCGTTAACGTTTTTATTAAGTTAAATTTTCATATATTTTCTATTGCATCAGTTGATGAACCTTGATAGTCTTTACAAAAAACTATCAACCTGCACGTCTTAAGAAATCATTGCTTCTGGAGATACGTTAATTTTAAGATTTAATATTTTACCCGTCCCTGTGAGACTGCTGCATTATTCTTACTTTCTCTCGCTGCAACGAAGGGTTCATCCCGTCGATAATTGCTGTTATTATTACAAGTTAAAATCTCTCCGCCGAGAACTTCGATTTTTATGGTTTCGAGCATGATTTCCGGCTTCGATCCCGCCGCGCGGCGGCGCCTGGAAACAGAAGTTTCGGGAAGCTTTCGGGCGCGAGCGCGGCCCGAAATCCCGCTCTCGGCGGCACTCGAGCCAGAAAATCGTAATTCCCTCGCGACTCGGGCCACATCCCCGCGGAGCAGCGAAATCTCCGCTTTAGAACTCGAGACACTTCGGGATTCCCGAGTGGAGAGGCAAACCCTCGGGGCGATTACCCGCTTCAATCTTTGGTTTCGCCGCGAAGACGGAGCGAGGAAGGAAAACAAGGGGGACGGGGCGATGGAGAGCTTTCGAGAGAGAGAGAGAGAGAGAGAGAGAGAGAGAGAGAGAGAGAGAGAGAGAGAGACGGAGCGTATCAGGGAGGGAAACAGTGGTATCGAGGGGTTGGCGATAGTTTCGAGGGTGTGGGCGAAAGTGGAAGCGCGTAGCATAGTCGAAGAAGATGCTCCGAGAAGAGAGGAGGGGGAGGACGAGAGCGAGCGAGGGGTCGTCGGTGTCCGTGGGATTTCACTCCGCGCAGAGTTGTTACAGAACGGCCATTGGAAATGCAAATTTTCGGGGGAAATGCGCGCAGGTACGTGGGCGAGACCGAAGTGAGGACTCTCAGGCCCCAGGTAAACTCGACGGAGATAGATAATCCCCGCACTTGGGCCACGTACAGCGTCTGCGAGATTATGGCGGAGCGGTCGCGCTACGGCCAGCCGATTAGGTGTGTCGCCATTCATCCGGCGTATGCCAACCCGACCATGTCCTCCAGCACGGAAGTGAGGTTCGACGTGCGATGTAAGTACATTTTCACGCTAATTTTTCTGTCACGGTTCGCCATTATTCGAACGTAATATTCTCCTGGAATAATTAATTATTCGAACGAATCCTCCTTAGCACTAGAACTGACAAACGAGTCAAGATGACTGGTTTCTGATTTTTTTCTTTTACAGTTTCTGATATTATACAAATATTTCCAGGAGAGATTTTTAGATACACTTACTTATTGAAATTTATATATACAATATATATAATAATATATATAAATTTCAATAAGTAAGTGTATCTAAAAATTTCTCCTGGAAATATTTTTACAATATTAGGAACTGTAAAAGAAAAAATCAGAAACCAGTTATTTTGACTCGTTTAATAATATTAACGTTAATAATATATATTATATATATTATATCAGGTTGGAAACTATGGAACGGGCGTTGAATGATGTAAATCGCTTTTTGTTTCCATCTGGTTTCGGAGAAAAATAAAATAAAAATGGCATACAAACACGAACAAAATTTTGCGAAATGAGTAACAAGAATACCTTTAAAATTTATAAATAAAAATATCGAGCGCACATTACAATGAACACAGTCGCAGCTGAACACAGATGAAACAAAAACGTCCGTTTCATAGTTTATATATATGAATATATATTATAATATAAAAATCCATAATTTAAATAAATCCAGTCTTGGCATTGTTATAAAACAATATACATTAGTCGCGCTTAGTGTTCGGTAGTTCTAGTGTTAATTGGATCTTTTACAATTAACAACAATTATTCATTGTTTATAACAAGCGATTCCATTCGCGCGTCCGAATAATTCTTTATTATTCGATCGAATAATAAAAATGACGAGATAATTGTCTGAATAGAGATTGTAAAATCGTTCGAATAATATTGCGAATAATTGTTGATTGTTTTTACTTTCACGTAGTTTCGTAAGAACACATTGATACGAATACATTCCGATATGTACATATATTCAGAATCGATTTGCTTTTCACTGCTCTGACAATGATACCGTATGCATGTTTATTTCTCGTTAATTTTCCAACGAGACCATTTCCCGACGCAACGTACGAAAAGAAGCGAATCGTAACAATCAACAGGGAAGAAATTAATCGATGAATTATGAAAAATGAAATGAACAGTGCACGTTCTATCAGCTTTATTCGAATCGATCGTTTCCAGAAAGAATTCTCGCGCGAATAAATACTTGCTCGAACAACGGATATTTTCTAGTTCAAACAAAATCTTGATCGAACGAGTTCTTATTCGGATCAATTGTTATCTAAATAAATTTGTATTCGATTCGATGTTTATTCGATAAAGTAAACGGACAAACGGTTGAAACTCCGCGCGCAACGAAAAAGTAATCGGCGAATTATCTCGCCTTTCGTTGAAAATTCAAAGCGTGCCGCGAATTTTCTCGTTGTCCCGGGCGAAACCGCTCGCTATCCGCGCTGTGAAATGGCATATTGGCGGCAAGAGAATCGCGTAGATCCAGACGGCGAGTAATCGAGCGTCAGAGTGTCCGCGGCCGATATCGAAAGCAAATGTTTTTCCACCGGTTTGGCGTTTTAACGCGGCAACGGTCCATCGGCGGCCGGTCGAACAACGGATTAAGATCGAGCGGAATTAATTCCGCGAGCTAATTTAGCAGACGATCCGGCGACCGATGGGTGCTGCGCGGATCCAGCAGCCAGGATTTAGGTGGATCGTAAAGCGTTCCTTTATTAGAAGTACTTATTAACGATCGAACGGCGTCCGATACTAACAGCCCTCCGCCGCGGGATTAATGTTTAAGAATAACCATCGGTGGCTGCGGGTTGGCGGGCGTGCTCCGCGAACCGTAACCATTCCGCCGTCGAACTTTTCCCCCTCGCGTTTCTTCAACTTTCCTAACGAGATTCCCGATGCTGGAAACAATTTTTCCCGGAAGAAGCGGGACCAAGTAATTCCGAGATATCGGCGGGAGTTCGATCGCACGGTTGCCCAAGCGCATCGAATTTGTTTGAATTGCAACGCGCCTCGTCTCGCCTCGCCTCGCCTCGCCTCGCCACGCCTCGCCTCGTGCCGGGGCAACCCGTAGCCGAGAGTGAGATTAAAATCGCGCTGCAACGCCGTTTGCCCGGGTACAACGGCCGGAACCGGGAAAAAGATGCTTCCATTTAGCACGTGGCGCAACGCTCTTTCTTCGTTCGATATCGGGAACGCCGGGCGTTACACTTCCCTGGTCCTCGAATACGATCGGAATTGCTTCGAGCAATTTATGATACACGTTTTTTCAATGAAAATTTACCGAGGCGTCTCGATGAAATACGACAACAATATGCCATCAATTGCGGATACGTTCAACGTATCGATGACGAAGTAGAAAGACAAGCGGCAGTTTTGGCGAACTAATTTCCAGCGAAGTTTTCAATGGAGGCACTCTGTTCAGCAAATTTAAGACTTCATATTCTGGACTATGGATGTATTATGTATTGAGAATTATTACTGATAACTAGCCGGCGGATCTTTATGCGAATTCTCATTTTTCTTCATTTTACAAAATTCAGAACGAAAGAGTTATGTCCGTCGACGAGGAAGAAAAAATAGACTCGCGATGAAGATTTCATACGTAATCGTATGTAATACGTAAAAAATTTACGGAACCCGTAAAAAATGACGTAAATTTCTTAATTTACGATTATTCATATCGTAAAGATACATTTATGAGTATTTATTCAATTTATATGTTACTTACGGCAAATGTTACAATAACATTTGTTAAAAATCAGAATAAATATGATGAAGTTTTCATACATAATCTATTAACACTAGATTTACGGAACCCGTCAGAAATGACGGGTCACTAATTTTTTAATTTACGATTATTTATATCGTACAGATACATTTATGAGTTATTTTTTCAATTTATATGTTACTTACGGCAAATGTTACAATAACACTTGTTAAAAATCAGAATAAATGTCTTATTGTTACTTTTATAAACTAATATAAAACAGCTGTTTTTTGTGCTCCGTAAGTCAGTGTTAAATACGAATGTTGTTCGTGTCTTCTAAATCGAAGCAATCTGTTATTGGAATGCAGAAACGAAAGTAAATGATGACACAAGAGAAATAAGAATTGTCTGGTTGTGTATTCGAAAAATTATTCAGACAGAAGATGTGCTAATCAACACAGTTTTGAGAAAAATAGTATTGCAAGGGGGTTGATTATGCAGCATACTTTACAACAGGGGTGGCCAAACTTTTGATCGCTACGGACGACCAGAATTTTTTTTAAATTATAGGCGGCGATCTGGCAACATCGTACTTGTTAAGTGACCACAAGGAAAGTAGTACAATAATGTCTCTCTAATTGGCGCTCAGATTGCCCACAAAAATGGACAATTTAGGGAGAAGAGAGACGATTATTCGATCCTTGCAGTTCATTTTTATAGTCGCGAATTGTCAACAACTATAAAAACGAGCTGCAAGGCTCGAATAATCGTATCTTCTCTTCCCAAATTGTTCATTTTTCTACACAATCCGAGGGTCAGTATGGGAGACATTACTGTAATTTGAAGCCAAAAATAAGTTTAAATTTAAAACAAACAGAGATAATATCAGACAGGCGGGCGACTAGGAATAGTTACGCGGTCGACGCTTCGGCCACCTTTGTTCTACAATAATGATTTTCTTTTGTATCATTTTTATATTGTTTTTCCCTGCGTATTACTTTCTCTCGAACTAAAGAGCATTTCCCGCGAATAGACGAATAAAATAAAGCGAAATGAAATGAAAGGAAATGAAATGGAATGAAATGAAACGAAATGAAACGAAAAGAAATGAAATGAAATGAAATGAAATGAAACGAGACGAGAAGATGCAAAATGTGCGCAAAGCTGCTGGTGTGAACTAGTAAAATTCGCGTGTGTCGTTCGGGCTGAAAGTTTCGCTCGTGATATTTCGGAAGGTGTTAGAAACGGAGACGCTTGCGGGGGAAGAACGAGGCTGGCAACGAATAAATCGGTGTTAACGAGAGCGGGACAGGCGAGCTGCGTGTGCATCGAGCTGACCTCAACCCCCGGGCCGGCCGAAACTACCCCCACCGGCTGGCAATTTAGCTCTGTACACAGACTGGTAACCGCGAGCCCTCATCAATCTCCCTCAAAACGGCGCGGCCTGACATCCTGCTTTCCGACCTTATCGACAATTCGAGCTCCGCTGCATCGTTCGACAATTTTGAATCGGTTTTTGCGAAACACCGTGACCCCGGCCAACAGTGACTAATGGCCCGCGAATCCGTTCGACCGACCGAAACGGCGCGGCGTCTTCCCCCGGCCGTTCGTCGACAGAATCCCGGAAAAACAGCCGCGGTCGACGTAGAAACTAGACTTGATCGACGCGGAATCAACCGGCCCGACGACCAGCGTGCACGCGAGCGTGTCTGTGCCGCGCAGCTGCCGATCCAGGGATCGCTGCAACCATCCCCCGGTTGCTGAATTAATACGCCGCAGAAGATAGATGCGAGCCGAACCGAGTAACGTCATTATCGGAATCTATTTACAGAATTATTACCCTCGCAATTGAACGAGTTTGTCGAGTGGACATCAATGATCGAGTGATGTCATTTTATCGCGCGCATTGTTCCGCGGCGATTCATCAAACCGGCTCTAAAATAGCTCGAAGTATGGACAGCGCCGCGTCCCTTCGCACTTTCCCACCCCTGTGCGCAGCCTGTACTTTGACCGCGTCGAACAGTCCCCGTAATCAGTGGGAATCGATTGGAAACTCGACAGGTGGGAACGAAGCTTTTCTTTAATTTCACCCTTTGCCAGCGGGAATTTTTCTCTGCGGAATTGAGGCGTAGGGTTGTGGAGCGGTGGTTACTGTGCGGTGACCAATATTGCTGTGCCTTTATTTTGGGGTGCAATTATCCTTATATTTCTTGAATAAGATATATTCAACTTTTTATTCGATAATTAACAAAATAAAAGATTACAAATTTTAATACGTCTTGTGAG